CGCCACCTTAGGTGTACGTGGCTGGCGCCTTAGCCGGTTGAACTATAGGTGCCGAGCCATTATTTGATTTTTTTTTGAGACAGTGTCACTATGTCACCCTTGGTAGAGTACTATGGCATCATAGCTCACAGCAACCTCAAACTCTTGGGGCTTAAGTAATTCACTTGCCTCAGCCTCCCAAGTAGCTGGGACTATAGGTATCTGCCACAATGCCCGGCTATTTTCTTGTTGTGGTTGTCATTGTTTTGCAGGCCTGGGCCAGGTTTGAACCCACCAGCTCTAGTGTATGTGGCAGGCGCCCTAGCCACTGAGCTATAGGCGCTGAGCCCACGTTTCTGTTTTAGGTCTACTTATACATACCTATAGATGAGATATAGCAAAATTACTGCCCTAGGAATTTCAGAAAAGCTTCAATCTATCTTATCCTTATTGATAATTGTGTTGATTTCAAGTCATTATAGACTAAATCTTTTATCATTTAGAGCTTTTTCTCTTATAGGAGTGTGTCCAGCCTGTAGCCTTACCAATCTTAAATTATCATTTGGTCCTTACCACATTGATTCTGTAACAGTTTATGTGTATGCCATTTATTTATTTATTTATTTATTTTTTGGAGATAGAGCCTCAAGCTGTCCCCCTGGATAGAGTGCTGTGGCATCACAGCTCACAGCAACCTCCAACTCCTGGGCTCAAGCAAGTCTCTTGCCTCAGCCTCCCAAGTAGCTGGGACCACAGGCGCCCGCCACAACGCCCGGCTATTTGTTGGTTTCAGCTGTCATTGTTGTTTGGCGGGCCAGGGCTGGATTCGAACCTGCCACCTTAGGTGTATGTGGCTGGCGCCTTAGCCGCTTGAGCCACAGGTGCCGAGCCTGTATGCCATTTATTAAGTTATTTTTCAGCTGCAATCCTACTCTTTTGTCCTCTGCTTTATGGTGTTTTAGCTGGAACTCAAAGGGCTCCACACTAGGCATTGTCAAGAGGGGGCCCTAGAGGAAGGCTGGACAGTGTGAAGTGGCTTCCGTGGTTTCTCTTTGGCATTCCTGTAAATGTTACTCCTCATGTGACGAGACCTTCTCAGATATCTGAGTTTAGCTCAATGGGGCGCCTCCATGATACCTCAGAGTTCTTTTTATTCTTTAAGTTAGTAACTATACCTAGTTAACAGTTATTTATATTATTTCTGTTCCAGTAACTGGTGTGATCTTTGTCTTCTGATTGGACCTTGATTGATATGATATGCCTATTTGTCTTTCCAGATGCTCACTGGATCATATTATTCATCTTTGTGTCTCTGAATTCTTTGTATCTAATAGAAAGAGCTTAATAAATATTAGTTCAACTCACAGTGGATAATCAAGCTGCAAGCAAAATCAGAATAAATCATGTCTTAAGTTGATATTTGCTTTTTTTAAGTAATACTTAAAACTGTTTTCATATTTAATAGTTACTTAAATAGTTTACAGTGTTTTAGAGTTTCTGAAGCATCATGTAATTGTTAATGATATGGCATTATCTCACTGTGTTAATGCCAAAAAAAATTGGGGTCTTAGATTCATTTTTCTTTTTGGGTGGGGACAGAGTCTCAAGCTGTCACCCTGGGTAAAGTGCCATGGTGTATAGCTCACAGCAACCTCTAACTCTTGGGCTCAAGTGATCCTCTTGCCTTAGTTTTTCTATTTTTAGTAGAGACAAGGTCTTGCTTTTGTTCAGGCTGGTCTCAAATTCATGAAGTCAAGCTGTCCACTCGCCTTGGCCTCCCAGAGTGTGAGGATTACAAGTGTGAGCCACTGTTTCTGGTCCCTTGTATTCATTTTTCATATGGCCCTGTTAGTTTTCTTCTGTTGTATGCCCACAGAATCCTAACTAATGTTCTTAAAAATTCCCACCACAGAGAAAGAGCAGAGGAATGTATGGAACATCACAAATTTATATTCACTTTTGAGAACAAAACCTAATCATCCCTCCCCTTCAAAGAGATTATGCATCATCTTAAGTTCTAGGCATGATGCCAGATACTGAATATTTGTTTATTCATTTAGCAAATATCTATTCATCATCTAGTATGACATGTACTTTTAAGTACTTAGAGTATATTAGTGAACCAAATAAGCAAAAGCCATAATCTTGTGGATTGGCAATAAATCCTAACTGTATCTAAATAAGTAAATTATATGTTAGGAAGTGATAAAAGCTAAGAGAAAAAGAACTCTACAAATTGTATGTTTGTGTTCATACAGCAGATTGCACTCTTAAATAGAGTAGTCAGGGTAAACATTATAGAGAGAAAGTGAGATTTGAGCAAAGACTCAAATGGGAAGAAGGTGAAGGAATTCAAGCCTTATTGGGGAAATAACATTCTACTTGAAGAAATCGTTAGAGCAAAAACCCTAGGGCAGCGTGCCTGGTATGTTCAAGAAACATCAAAAAAAGAGCCTCCTTGGATGGAATAGAGTAAGTGAAGGAGAGAGTAATAGGTGAAGTCAGAGGTAATAGGGAATTTTATGTAAGGAATGCCCTGTGGGAACTTCAAAGTCTATTGATTGAGTTGGGAGGACCATTGTAGGGTTTTGAGCCCAAGAGTGATTTGATCTTGTTAAAAGGGTGATTCTGGCTTATGTATATAAAATGGATTAAAAGAAGGCAAAGATGAAAGGAAGGAGTTCAACAGTTGGTGGCTGTTATATGATAGAATTTCAGATGACAGAAAATAGTAGCTTGAATAATGGGGGTTAGAAGTACCCAGATTCTAGATATTCAGTAATTTTTCTTGGCAGAACATATGTAGGGCATGAAAGAGAGAGGACCCAAGAGCGACTTCATGGTTATGATTCTGAGTAACTAGAACACTGAATTGCTATCAACAAGTATCCAACAGTGAGCAAAAACAGATAACACTATTCCTCTCATGTGCTTGTATGTTGTAGGAGATCTCTTTCATATGAAGATTATGTTGATATATGAATAGAATATTCTGGAATAATATTCAAGAAAAAGTTCTTGACTTTGAGGGGAGGGCCTGAGGATGTAGAAAAAAACCAGTGTATACATATCTTAAATTATTTTAAAAACTAAGAGAAAGAGAAAAGTTTTTATTTTAAAAACTAGAAAAAGAGAAAAACCAGTATATATGTATCTTAAATTATTTTAAAAACTTTCTAGAAGTAGAGCATATATAGAGAAATATGTCTGATCATTAGTGTGCAACCAGCATATAGATAAAATAACAACATTTTCACTACCCCAGAATCCCTTCATACTTTTTTCTACTTGCCTTCCCCCAAGGACATACCACTATTCTAATTTTTAATGCATACCTTGGTTGTTATGATAATTAATATAAGTGAAATTATACACTGCATGGCTCAGCACCTACTCAGTGGCTAGGGCACCAGCCACGTACACTGGACCTGGCAGGTTTGAATCCAGCCCAGGCCAACCAAAAAATAGCCAGACATTGTGGCAGGTGCCTGTAGTCCCAGCTACTTGGGAGGCTGAGGCAAGAGAATTGCTTAAGCATAAGAATTTGAGATTGCTGTGAGCTGTGACGCCACAGCACTCTACTAAGGGCAACATAGTAAGACTCTAAATTCTCCATGCCATGTCTTCTTTTACCCTAAATTATGTTTGTAAAATTCATATGTAGTTGTGGTTTATTCTCATTGTGATATAGGCAGGACCCCTTGAGACCAGGAGTTCAAAGTTAGCCTGGACAACCCTGTCTATTAAAAAATGTAATTAAAAAAAAATTAGCTAGGATTTATATATTTTTAAATATATTTATCAGTATACTGCAGTATATCCATTCTTTTATTAATACTCTTAAATTATTATTTTTTATATGCAACAATATGAATGAATATTTTCCCCTCAGAAGAAAATTTTTTAATTAATTTATTTTTATTGTATAGTGAATTCTGGGCTTTTAGTGTACCCATCACCTAAATAGTGTACATTGTATCCTATTTTTCATATTCACCCCCCTCACTGGGTGTCCTTGTGTAGCTATAGTCTAGCTCCCACTTATAAAGTAGAACATGCAGCATTTATTTTTCTGTTTCTGAATTACTTCTCTTAGGATGGTACTGCAGCCTCAAACTCCTGGGCTCCAGTGATCCTCCTCGTCCTTCTCCTTCAGCCTCTTAAAGTAGCTGGGACTATTGGTGTGTGCCACCATGCCTAGTTCATTTATTTAAAATTACATTTTTTTATAGACAGGGTTGTCCAGGCTAACTTTGGACTCTTGGCCTCAAGGGGTCCTCCTGCCTCAGCCTCCCAAAATGCTGGGATTTTAGGTGTGAGCCACTGTGCCTGGCCACTTTTCTTTATTTCTTTAACAAAAAATACTATTTTCCCTTTTCTAGGATGACTGTAGAGTTGTCTTGGCAAAACAAGAAATTACAAGGTTACTGGAAACATTGCAGAAACAGCAGCAGCAGTTTACAGAGGTCGCAGATCACATTCAATTGGACGCCAGCATCCCTGTCACTTTTACGAAGGTAATGTACTATTCTTTAGGTTTGTTTTCTAACAAATTACGATTGATTTTCATTTCATGATAATTAGCTTGAAGAGACAGTTAGGAAACTGATGCATTATAGAATTTTTTTGTTTTTTTGGACAGAGTATCATTCTGTTGCTTGGGCTGGGTGCCTTGGCCTCAGCCTAGCTCACAACCAACCTCAAACTCCTAGGCTCAGGCAGTCCTCCTGTCTCAGCCTTCTGAGTAGCTAGGACTACAGGCCACCTGGCTAATTTTTATATTTTTAGTAGAGACAGTTTGGTTTTGTGGTGGGCCTTAAACTCTGACCACAAGCAGTCTTCCTGCCTCAGCTTCCCAGAGTGCTAGGATTACAATGCTTTATAGCTGTAATCCAGAGATGTTTAGCTCTTCTTATCTCTGGCCCCTCTACCTTTTTTACTTTGTTCCCCATAGAAAACCATTTAGTATTTTTTCTGAGTTTTCTTCATTATTTAAAAAAATAGAGAAATATCATTTATGTATTTGTATGTACATTCCCTGCATTTAAAGGTAGACTATAGACTACCTTATACACTTTTTTCCTTCTTTGTTCTTTTACTATACATTTTAAAAATCACTGCATAGCAGTATATAGGGTGACTTTTTTATTCCTTTTTACCGTTGCAAGGTGCTTTATTGCATGGATGTACCACAATTTTTTTATTGAGGTGGAAAACACAATGTAAAATTTACCAGCTTAACCATTTTTAAGTATACAGTTCAGTACTGTTGAGTATATTCATATTGTTGTGAAAGACATCTCCAGAGATTTATCTTATAAAACTCTATATCCTTTAAATAATAATTCCCCTTTCCCACTCTCTCCTTAGCCCTTGGTAACCACCATTCCACTTTTTGTTTCTGTGAATTTAATTAGTTTAGATACTTTATATAAGTAGAATTATACAGTATTTGTTTTTTGTGGCTGGCTTATTTCATTTAGCATAATGACTTCGAAGTTTATCCACATGAGAGGATCATTCCATTATAATGCTGAATAATATTTCGTTGTATATCTGTGCCACATTTTGTTTATTCATTTATTTGTCAAATTTACTTTCACTCTTGGTTACTGTAAATTGTGCTACTATGAACATGGGTGTACAAATATTTCTTTGAGACGCTGCTTTCAATTCTTTTGTATGTATACCCAGAAGTGAAATTAGTGGATCATATAGTAGTTCTATTTATAATTTTCTGAGGAACTATGATACTGTTTTCCATAGTAGTATGGCATATTACGGTTCTACCAGTGGTGTACAAGGGTTTGATTTCTCTATATTCTCCCCAACACTTGTTATTTTCTGTTTGTTTTTGGCTGGTAGCCATCCTAATTAGTGCAAAGTGATACCTGGTTTTGGTTTTGATTTGCGTTTCTCTGCTTAGGCCGTTTTGTGTATTGTCTTGAATATGTCTGTTGAAGCCCTTTGCCCAGTTTTTGATTAGGTCATTTGATTTTTTTATTGTAGGAGTTCTTTATATGTTCTAGATATTAATTCCCTATCACATTTTTGATTTGCAAATATTTTCTCCCATTATGTAGGTTACCTTTTCACTTTCTTATTTGTGTCTTTTGATGCACTAAAGTATTAAGTTTGAGGTAGTCTCATTTTTCTATTTCTGCTTTTATTGCCTATGTAAAATAATACTCATGTGGCAGGAACATTTGTAGAGACTTTTTATGTGTATTTAAAAAAAATTAATCCTTAGCTGGGCACAGTGGCTTCTCCTATAGTCCTAACACTCTGGGAGGCCAAGGTGAGTGAATTATTTGAGCCCAGGAATTCGGGACCAACCTGAGCAAGAGCGAGACCCCTGTCTCTACGAAAATAGAAAGAAAAACTGAGGCAAGAGGATCTCTTGAGCCCAGGAGTTTGAGGTTGCTATGAGCTCTAAAGATGCCATGGCATTCTACCCCCCCCCCAAAAAAATTAATTCTGCTAAGAATTCTATGTGACTTTTATAATATTTTTATCCTCTTTTTATGAGATGAGAGAAGTTAGGCAGAGAGGTCATACAATTAGTAACATATACGAGTATGTTTGTTACAGCATTGTTTATAATTGCAAAAAAAATCAGAAATGAGGCTGGGCACAGTAGCTCATGCCTGTAATCCTAGCACTCTGGGAGGCTGGAGCGGTTAGGTAGCTTGAGCTCAGGAGTTTGAGAACAGACTGAGCAAGAGCAAGATCCCTGTCCCTAAAAATAGCCAAGCGTTGTGGCGGGCATCTGTAGTCCCAGCTGCTTGGGAGGCTGAGGCAAGAGGATCATTTTTATCCAAGAGTTTGACGTTGCTGTGAGCTCTAATTACACCATGGCACTCTACCCAGGGCAACAGAGTAAGACTCCCTGCCATCTCCTCCCTGCCATCTCCCTCCCAAGCCCCAAATCAGAAATGACCTAAAAGATTAGGCGTCCTCAAACTATGGCCCACAGGCCACATGCAGTCCGCCTAGGACATTTACCTGGCCCGCCAGGTGTTTTTGCTGCCGCTGCCTTAGCAGCCGACTCATCCTGGGGCCTGTAGTCCGGCCCTCTAATGGTCTGAGGGACAGTGAACTGGTCCCCTGTTTAAAAAGTTTGAGGACCCCTGTGACTATCAGTTGGAGACTGGTTACATTGTGGTTCATGGAATATAAGAAAGCATTAAAAGGAAAAGGTTAATCCATATAGATTGAAAGAATTCCTTAATAAACTGTTGAGTGAAAACCAGTTGCATTGTCTGGATATGTAAGGTATTTCTTTTTAAGTTTTTTTTTTTTTTAAACCATATTTGTTTGTGTATGTTGGCCAATAAGTACATGGGAAAGTATGTGGAGGGATATACACCAGATTGTTAATAGTGGATGTTTCTGGGAACTGAGCAGCAGTTTATTTATTTATTTTTTGAGACAGAGTCTTACTTTGTCACCCTTGGTATAATGCCATGGCGTGACAGCTCACAACAACCTCAAACTCATGGGCTTAAGTGATCCTCTTGCCTCAGCTGGGACTACAGGCACCTGCTACGATGCCTAACTATTTTTAGAGATGACGTCTTGCTCTGGTTCAGGCTAGTCTTGAACCTGTGAGCTAGGGGCAATCCATCAGCCCAGGCCTCCCAGAGTTCTAGGATTACAGGTGTCAGTCACTGTGCCCAGCCTCAGTTTTTGCTTTTTTTTTTGAGACAGTGTCTCAAACTGTCGCCCTCAGTAGAGGACCATGGTGTCACAGCTTACAGCAACCTCAAACTCTTGGGCTCAAGTGATTCTCTCTCTCTCTCTCTCTTTTTTTTTTGAGACAGTCTCACTATGTTGCCTTTGGTAGAGTACCTTGGCGTCACAGCTTACAGCAACGTCTGACTCTTGGGCTTAAGCAATTCTCTTGCCTCAGCCTCCCAAGTAGCTAGGACTACAGGTCTACAGGTGCCCGCTACAACTCCTGGCTATTTTCTTGTTGCAGTTGTCATTGCTGTTTAGCTGGCCCAGGCCAGGCTCATACCCGCCAGCCTTGGTGCATGTGGCTGATGATGTAACCGCTGTGCTATGGGTGCCAAGCCCATTTTTTGATTTTAATTAATGTGGCACTATTTTGAGTTTTAGTATAGCATAAAACATGCTTAAAGATTTAAAGAAGATTCAGTTTTTTTCAGATTTCCTGGAAAAATCAAGTGGTATATTTTATTTATACAAAGGCAAAATGGTCAGTTTTACAAAGGAAAGATTTAGCCATGGGAAGGAACTCATCTCAGAGAAAATCAGATTTGGGGATTCTGAAGATTATTGTTCAGATTATAGTTGGTCTAGGAATGAGGGAGTCATGGAAATAATTAAAAAAGGTCATTTATTTGTAAAGAGAAAGTATAAATACTATTATTTTCTAATTCCATATCGAGTTCAAAACTTTTAAAAAATTTTAAATTCTAGGACAATAGAGTTCACATTGGACCAAAAATGGAAATACGTGTTGTTACATTAGGATTAGACAGTGCTGGAAAAACTACTATTTTGTTTAAGTTAAAACAGGATGAGTTCATGCAGCCCATTCCAACAATTGGTAAGTATGAATATTGCTTTTTTAAACTTAATGGACATTTTAGGAACAAACCCTAGGTTAAAGCTGAGTTCTTGGGTCTTAATTGATACTCTAGCAGAGTGATGTGGCCTCTTTTCTGTCTCTACGATACCAACATTTCAGAGAAAAAAATGCAAGATTCAGTGGCTATGGGATTGAAATGCATAATAAGAAGGAACAGAGTATGGGTGAGATGGTTGCAGGAATAGAGAATTGATGATGCTGGCTAAGGGTTAGGGGTTAGGGGATAGTAGTGGTGCAGAAGTGGCAGGTACATGGATTCCAAGATTCTAAGGAGACCCTGGTGGACCCTAGAGAGCTGTCAACTGTTAAGGTGTACATTCTCTATATAGGATTAGAAATGGAGTTGATTGGCTGCAGTTGATACTGCTGCATGTTGATAACTTGTCAGTCACAATTATGAAACAGCCTGTGTTTGATGTGTCATTTGTTATAAATATACTATAAAAGTAACTTTTTTTTTTTAAATCAGGTTTTAATGTGGAGACTGTAGAATATAAAAATCTAAAATTCACTATTTGGGATGTAGGCGGAAAACACAAATTAAGACCATTGTGGAAACATTATTACCTCAATACTCAAGGTAAGCGTCAAAACTAACATCTTTTCAGAGTTTTAGGATGACAGTTTTTAGTACACTGATTTAAACTAGCAAAGCTAGCATTTATGACTAAATGCTTGACTATACACTTAAATATCAGTGGGCAATCCTTTTTCTTTTATTTCTTTCTTTCTTTCTTTTTTTTTTTTGAGACAGAGCCTCAGGCTGTTGCGCTGGGTAGAGTGCTATGGCATCACAGCTCACAGCAACCTCCAACTTCTGGGATCAAGCGATTCTCTTGCCTCTGCCTCCCAAGTAGCTGGGACTATAGGCACCCGCCACAATGCCTGGCTATTTTTTTGTTGCAGCCATCATTGTTTGGCGGGCCCAGGCTGGATTCGAACCTACCAGCTCAGGTGTATGTGGCTGGTGCCTTAGCTGCTTGAGCCACAGGCGCTGGGCCATCTTTCTTCTTTTTTTTGAGACAGTCTCATTTTGTCATCTTTGATAGAGTGCTGTGGGGTCATAGCTCATACTCAACCTCAAACTCTTGGGCTCAAAGTGATTCTCTTGCCTCAACCAAATAATCAGGGACTATAGGCAGCAGCCACAATACCTGGTTATTATTCTGCTGTTCAGTTCATTTCAACATTTATCCTGTTACAACCTCTCAGTAGTCCCACCCCTTTGTTTCCATTCACAAATAGTTGTTAGCTGCAAAAGAACTTATAGTGGCTTGCTTTTGCCTACAATATATCTTATCACATATGTTCTCCCTCGCCTTCATTCCTTTCTGGGCCCCATTCTACAGTTTTGCCTCTTACACTCCAACATGTTTATGTTCATGCCACCTGTTCCATATGTCATCCTACTTTCCACCAAAATGAGAGACTAGCTAATTATCTTTACTTGCTATTTTGGTATTAAATTTAGAATGAACTATGATATTAAAAAATGGAATTTTGAATATGAGGAATGGTTGAAAATCTGGGAATGTTTATCCTAGAGAGACGAATACTTTGTAAAGATAAATTGGTGATGTTTTTGTTCTTAAAAGACCAACTTTTGCTAAAGAACATAGTATTTAAAGAACAAGTAGCATCAGTAGGTAGACGACATAAGAGGCACATTTTCATTCACTCTGTATATCACTTATTACTGCATAATCACTTACTGCATAAGTGATATATAGAGTAATTTGTGTTTGATAGAACATGTGTTGTAAATCCCATCATAGATGGGGAAACTAAAACAAATAAGTTATGTGAAGTACTTGAGTTATACTCTGGTGTTCCTACCATAATAGGCAATCTTTATGTGAAAACAAGGCTGGTAGACAAAGTATAACCAAAATAAGATAGAGCAGTAAATATTTGGTCCAGTTATTGAAACTTAATAAGTGACTAATTGAATATTTCTGTGGTCTTTTTTTTTTTTTTTTGGTAGCTGTTGTGTTTGTTGTTGATAGCAGTCATAGAGACAGAATTAGTGAAGCACATAGTGAACTTGCAAAGTTACTGATAGAAAAAGAACTCCGAGATGCTTTGCTCCTGATTTTTGCCAACAAGCAGGTAATATGTTTTTATTATTTTAGTAGTTTTGTGTATTCTATGTCATAAAGCAGCTTTGGAAATTTTAAAAGAGAATCAATTTTATAGATATTTTCAAAGTTTCTGCTATGTATTTTGAGTACAATCTATGTGAAAAGTGCTGTGCTATACAGAAAAGAAATAAGGTAGTTGATGCTTACAAGAAACTTCTGTGTATATAGGTGAATACATACACGTAATTCAAATACAAAGAACTTCAATAATATTAAAAGTGTAATGGGGGATTAGGAGAGATAATAGTTCTAAAGATGCATCTTATCAGATTTGCAAAACATAGCATTCAAGTTGAAGTTATTATAAGATTTGAAATTATTGTTAAGACTTCAAGGCAATATGAGAAAAAGAATGTTACAGGCAAAGAAAATAATAGCATTAATGTTTTTTAAGGAGAATCAAGAAGACCTATATGTGAGGTATAGAGAATGAAGAAGAAAATCTAGAATAACAGCTGAGGCTACACTGAAGGCCTGACAGGGTAGACTGAGAAATTTAGGTTTTATACTGTGAACAGAGGAGAACCATGAAAATGTTTTCTTACTAATGGGTGATAAGATCATATCAGTGTATTAATACCTTAATTCTGGGGGTAGAATGAATCAGGCAAAGGGACTAGAGATAAGGAGATGCTTTAGTAAATTGCTAAAATCAAGTGAGACTTGAGAGTCTGAATTAGAGGATTTGAAAGGTGGGGTAGATGGAAGAGATTTTATGGAGGTGGAATTGTTGGAATTGGTGACTGAATAGGGAGGACCAAGGACTGGGAATAGCTGAAAATCCCTAGATCTTGAGCCTGAGCTTCTAGGAGGATGAGAAACCTTTTTTTTTTTTTTTTTTTTTTTGAGATAGAGTCTTACTTTGTCACCTTCAGTAGAGTGCTGTGGCATCATACTTCACAGCAGCGTCAAACTCTTGGGCTCAATAGATCCTCTTGCCTCAGTCTTCTGAGTAGCTGGGATTGTAGGTACCTGTTCAATGACTGGCTAATTTTTTTTATTTTTTTTAAAGATGGGCTCTTGCTTTTGCTCAGGCTGGTCTTGAACTCCTAAACTCGAGGGATCAGCCCACCTTGGCCTTCTGTCTGTAGTGTTGGATTATAGGCATGAGCCACCTTACCTGGCCTATGAGAATGCTTTTATGTGAAGTAGAGGTAGAAGTAGAGTAGAATAGATGTTATAGGAGGGGAAGAGTAGGATAAAGGATAAAGAATTTTCTCCTTTATAAAAAGGACAAACTATTAAGAACTGGTACATTTAACCTTACCTATGATTGATAGATATGCAAATATGGCAAAGTGAAGATACCCTTTTCTACCTATCAGATAGTTAAAAATGAAAATGTTTCATAATCCTCAGAGACTCACTTACACTGTTAGTATGGTTATTAAACTGAGACATTTTATTGGAGGGCAACTTGGCAGTATTTTTCAAAGTTTTAGATGCATATTTTACCCTGCAAGTCTACCAGTAGTAGTATATCCTTATAGACAATATCCAAATGTGTGTGTGTGTGTGTGTGTGTATATATATGGATTTATAATAGCACATAGGCATATAACTTCAATTTGAATATTCAGTTTAAGACTGGTTAAGTAAATTATGTTGCATTCATACACGTAACATCATGAAATTCTCATGTTAAAAATGTGGAAAATCTGCTTGTACAGAGAATGGAATAATACCTATCTTCAATAAATTTGTTAAGTTAAAAAAAAAAAAAACCCTGCAAGATATAGAAAGCCTAAAGTATATCACTGTTTGTGTTTATTTGCATGAATATACCTGGAAATTTTCTGGAAAAATATAAAAGAAATGGTTACCAGTAGTTGCTCCTAGGAAGTCAAAGCAAAGATGTTCAGAGTGGGAATGTAATGAACTCTTCATTATATAAATCCTACATATAAACCATTTTTCTGGTATACATGTGTTAATTACTTTTATTAGGTTGATGCCTTTTAATGAGTTAAGCAATGTCTTTTCATTCAGATCACATGACCTTTATTGATTTTATTGTTAGGCTATCCTTGCAAAAAATACATACACATACATGAATCACTTTAACCAAAACTCTTTATTTTCTTATTAGTCTGATAATTAATGAAAGATGAATCTAGGTTTTAACCTTTGCTTAGGCTTTTGTTAGAATGCTATCAACCGAATTCTATATAAATGATAATAATTAGAAAAATAATTTGGATGGACTGATAAAAAATTATGATGTATTTACATATATATATGTGTGTGTATATATATATCTTTCAGGATGTTGCTGGAGCACTGTCAGTAGACGAAATCACTGAACTTCTCAGTCTTCATAAACTATGTTGTGGCCGGAGCTGGTATATTCAGGGCTGTGATGCTCGAAGTGGTATGGGACTCTATGAGGGGTTGGACTGGCTGTCACGGCAACTTGTGGCTGCTGGAGTATTGGATGTTGCTTGATTTTAAATGCAGCAGTTGTTCAGAGTTTTGTAGTGAAGAGTTATTTTGCACCTAACATGTACGAAATTCTGTTCTCAAAGATGATAATTTAGGTTGTGTATATAAAAAGAATCTTGGCTTGGGAATTCAGTAGATTATTGTTTTAAAATTATTTTGTGGCAAAATTTAAATATCTGAGCAGATTAGATTGGGTTAAATAGAGATTTCTTGAATATACATTGTTTTAAATAGTACATTTATTATTTAAGTTTTTCAGATTATATGTGACCCATATATTGGGAAAGAAGTAGTCACAGAGAAAGGGTAAGTGAAGGTTTATTGTTTCAGTGACAAAAGAATAGCCAACTGAGTGCCTAAGGAAACCTCTTAGTGAGGTGCAGCTGCTTCTTTACCCTGCCTTTTCATGGAATTTTGGCAGTATTTAGTAGTAGGAATGACACTCGCTTAATGAAATAGAATCCGAACTGCATATTTGGGTAACAGGATTACTTTACTTTTATTTTAAGTTGTTTAATGCTAACAACTATAAGCTATAGAAAGTTAATATTTTATACAGTGTTTCATTACAACTTTTCTCCTAAAGCATTTTGTATAAAACACAGTGAGACACAACGAAATATTATCTAACTGGGCCTGATTGTCAGATTAGTAATAAACTGAAGAACAACTAATAATAAAACTGTGAAAGTTACTTGATCTTCACTTATGAAGGACCTATTAGTCTTATATATAATAACCATGCTTACGTATTATTTCCTGGGTCAGAGAGCTTAATTGGTCCTTCCATTTTTCAACATTTAAAGTACTTGGTAGTGTTTCTTTCTAAATAATATTGCATCCTTGTGGGTATGACTATGGGTGAAATATAGTAAGTAACAGAAAACCAGGGTCAGCATAATGTAAAAGGTAGAGACCTAAGTGGAAAACTAACTTTACCTTAAGAGAAGTCATTTAAAGAATGGGGAATGCTTATTACTTTCCCATAATAAGTGCATTTATCTTGACAAGAGAACTTGATCAAAGCTCTTCATGATAAGGCCTTGAAAAGCTATTTAAGAAGAAAAGTATGTCTAAAGAAGGCAAAGAAATATTTTTAAAGTTTACATTTATTATTCAGTGTTGTGAGTAAATAAAAATTTTGTGCTCTTTACTGTTTTTCATTTTTAAAGGATACTCTCTTATAATGGAAGCATGATTTATTATATTTAAATGGGTAGATTGAAATTTTATGGTTTTTAAAATGCTCTTAAACTTTAAGACAGTTTAATCATAAATCTTATTAGTTGATTTGAGAAGACAGTGATATCTGATGACAAGATGTGATTTTAGGTGGCACTCAGTTTGGTTTAGTCTTTTCAAAATTTTTGTTGTTTAAAAATAATAACTTTTAGAAACAAAGCATTAAAAAAAGCCCATCAATGATATGGGCAATATGTAAATAAGTAAATACAATGTTTTGTCCTTTGTTTTTCAAGTAAAAGTTTATGCTGTTACAAGTGTAGTTTGTGTGCATAGTAATAATTTTGAATTATTTAATATTTGACTGATTTCTATAATCGTGAAAAATAAAAAAGGTGTTGCATTTGCTTGTCAGCCCTTAAACTGTTTTTTCTAATAGGTAATTGGGGGAAAAAAAGTATAACACTAACATGTAAACTTGCTTCCCTTCTAAGTTATTTAGATTGAGCTAAGTTTTAAATTCACAATCTTAGCATGTAACTGAACATAATTTAAAAACTATGCTTAGACACGATTATAATGTATATATAGCAGGAGTGTGTGTGTGATTTTTTTTTTTTTAAAGAGGTACTTTTCTCAGGCTTCTGTTACTATTTGTGGTTGTATTCTTTCACTAATAATCAGTTAAGAATATGACATTTCTTGTGAAATGTCAAATTAAGGATAAGAGTGATGTTTTAAATACAATATTTGTCTCATCACTCTGAATTTCTGTATTAACCCTATATATCATTATATGATTTATGTAAAGCAAGTTTGTTAAATGGATAGCCCTGGTTTATAATTCAGCTTTATAACAGCCAGAAGCTATAATTTGCACTACATACATGATCAGTATAGATAGCAATAAAATGTTAAAATCATTTTAAAGAAGTCCTATTATTATTCTAAAACATGTTTCTTAAACCATCTATCTAGTATTAATGCTAGTAACCTATTTAAACTGTCATTATTTGTGCTGTGCTTAAGAGAAATAATAAAACACAGTGGGTGGGGATTGACTTGCCTAAAGCAAAAATTTAGAATGAATTATTCTGTATTTGCAATGTAGGTCATATTTAATTAAGTAATAAAACTGTAGTATTTTGTAAGAAGAGCTACAACTTTTCATTGAACAAAGTGAAACTTCATTTTTTGTATTGCTTCTTAAATTGTAAATGTAACTTTATTTCATAAGAGAACATAGAATTTTAAATGACTAATTTAGAAAATGGCTTGGAAAATTTAGCTATAATGTATGAACTAATATTGCTAAGAGAAAGGCTTTTTATATGGTAAAGGAATTTGCAAAGTGGTAACTGGAAGGAAGATAGCTATATTCTTCTCTAAAGGAATAAAGAATGAAAAGGACTAATGAGTAAGTATGATATTATATCTTGATAATTTAAAACATGCTTTTAAACCATAGTAATATAGGTTTTTAGGTTAAGGTTAACCTAATCTTCCAATTAGGTTAAGGTTCTGACATGAATGGAAAAACTGATTATCAAATTATTACTCAAGTGTATTTGAGGGGGGAATGAGACATTGTACCACTTGGTGGCAGTATTACCAAAAATTTAGATCAAACTTTTAGGAATGCATAAAATTAGTTAGGTAAGTCTAAACACCTAAAATTAAGAAAAGGTCAATGTCACAGTAGAAAGTCATTTTATATCCAACTTTAAGTTACACTTTTAAAAAGGAGGACATATGGGTTTAAAGTAGCACAGTTTGCTATATTCTTCTACTTCACAAGTGAGTGGTAAAGGAAATAACACTGCTGAGTAAAGTATAAAATATGAATTCCCTAAACAAGTCTTTTGAGCATGTTCCTCCTGTAAGTTACTGGAAGAATCTGTATGGAAACTAGAGGAGTGCTTCTTAATAGTTACGAAGTAAGTTATAAGGGTTAGTGAAGAAGAGATGAAATTCAAACAGGACTTTGAGTTCATATTGTCTTACTGCTCCATTTTCTACTAATATCTCCATTATTAGATACCAACACTTTTATGTATACTTATTGATGGTATAATTACTAAAGAAACACTAGAAGACATAATTATTTGGCTACAATAGAAAAGAATGTGAAAATAAATGAACTTGCATATAAAACCATGGATTTGGGTATTTATTTTGATTCTTGTATTTGATAAAATACTTAATAATTATTAAGGAAAAATTGACAAACAGGACTTCCTATTTATTTATTGAAGCCAGGCATCCTCAAACTATGGCCCACGGGCCACATGCAGCCTGCCTAGGACATTTATCCAGCCCACCGGGTGTTTTTGCTGCTGCTGCCTGTCCTGCTTAGCAGCCGACTCGTCCAGGGGCCCGCAGTCTGGCCCTCTAACGGTCTGAGGGACAGTAAACTGGCCCCCTGTTTAAAAGGTTTGAGGACAACTGATTGAAGCCTTCCTGGTTACTACTTTTTTTTTGGTGGGGGACAGAGTCTCACTACATCGTGCTCAGTAGAGTACCATGGCATCACAGCTCACAGCAACCTCAAACTCGTGGGCTTAAGTGATTATTTTGCCTCACCCTCCCAAGTAGCTGGGACTACAGGAGCCAGTCACAACACCTGGCTGTTTT